CTCAATGTGCACTATGTAAAGTGCTGTGTAAAATTGATGATGCTATATAAATACCAATAATAAATAAATATTACAGGGGGGTTGTTTGTAGTTCCTCTGGCTAAAAAACTGTCTATTAATGACACCCACTGAGTACTTGTTTTTTGGCTCCTGAGTTTGAGTTCTTTTGGGTGTGAGCAAGGTGTTGCTTCAGCCCTGATGAAGAAGGATTGTTGAAACATGTTGGCTAGCTGTTGTCATCTTCTGATAATTGTGGAATCAATAAAGTCCTATTCTAGACTCTTAAACCATGCTTTACTACAAACATCTCACAAAGTAGTTGGACCCAGGGAGTACCCCATTTCTATGGATAGCTTCAGAACCCAGGTGATGGGCCGAAACACAATGCACCAACCACCTAGGATAACTGGGTCCGGTGCCTCGCTCTCATCTCCTCGCGTTAAAGTTTTGTTTGCCCATAGTAACACTTTAATAAGGGAGAACAATGAGCAGTGATACATGAACTGTAATCCATAGCAGTGAATCCGATAAAGACTTCTCATCAAACAGCTGTCAAAGATAAGGTCTGCAAAGCGTTAGTCTACTCATCTCTGCCCCATTCATTAAAGCTCAGTTTGATAAAAACTCATTGAGTCTAAAACATTCATTACAGTCTCTTTTGCTGTTATTTACAAATGTTCATATCATACAAAACTTATGTGTGGTCAGCTTGCCTTCCAATACTCAAATAACACCATGCTTCTCTTCTATCTCCAAACGTACGTGAATGATCCGGCTACCAGGATAATCTAGAGGGAGCTCCGTCATTAGATGGGATTTCGCACCATTAATCTACAACTGATAACTAATTATGGAGGACTTATAACTGCTACAATGCAAATAACTATACTATTAAGTCATAACAACGGTATGCAGAGGGTTTATTATGTCATTAACTGGTTTAGCATGGATCACTGGTGCTTGAATGTTTTCAGAATATGGATGCCATGGGAAAATAAGTAATGGGGGTTTGGTTAAAGCCTTCTTCCACTATACATGGCATATTTGACGTTTCAGACAAAAGAAAATTGTTACATTTGTCAACAGAATGATTTTCTATCACTTCCTACGACTGCACAAGCTCATTAGGTATCCACTTCATCATGTCCAATGGTAGTTGTCTGAACTGGCTGTTGCCATGGCAGACCTGTAGACACAATGGAATCTTGTGTCTATGAGAATATTCCATGGCCAACTGTAGAGAGCAGTATGTGGCTGTAGACTTTCTCCCAAAGCAACAAGAAACATTTCCATTTGGCACAGTGGATACTTGGATACAAATGCCTGCACATTGGTAACCTAATATAATAAATTGGTTATCGATACAATGTACTATAAACAAAATGAGAAATAATCAAGAGCAACGGCGATGTGCAAAGTGCACTAACCTATAGCAACCAGTTATCTCAGACAGGTCTGGGAAGAGATCATTTTGCACATCATCAGTCCACTTTGCGCTGCCTTATACCTCAAGGCAAAATCACTTCATTACTTTTATCTTAGTGACGTGCTTCAGGGCTATCTGCATAAACAGGAACATAAAACAGAGACTATCCAGTCTTTCTCTATCTACCAAAGACATTCAATGGTGACTTAAACCTTTCACTGTCTACTACAGACATCAACTGCTGATTGTCTTTATCAGAAGCCAAGTAAAACAAGCCAAACCGTGAACAACCATGCATCATCATAATGTATGTGCAAGCTGCAGTAACCTATAGCAACTGATAAGAAATCCTTCCTTCAAGGATCTGATTACAAAATACTGAAATCTGGTTGGTTGCTTCAGGTTACAGCACCTCGCACGTCACCAATGCTCTTTGCATTGTCTCGCTGTATAAACCGCTACACGATGTGACGTTACAGCACGCCTATTGCACTTCTACCAACCATTCAACACTAAATATTTTATAAAATAACATTGCATATGCATAACCATGAAAGACACAAAATGATAAATGAACATAATCATTCAGTGGACCATTTTACTTTTAGACAACATGCTAATGCTCACTATGGATCTATTAACTGCATACTGAGCACTAAGACTCTTGCAATTGTGTCTGCACTTTGTGCTATTCAATTAAGCCCAAAAAGGCAGTGCTTGTTGGCAGTTCATACCAGATCACACAAAAAAAAACATTCCATTCCTTGCTTCTGTCCATTCTCCATCTGCTAAAAACTAGCAGTTGCAAGCAGGGGTCTGCAGCCCTGAACGCATTAGGCGCAATCTAAAGTGCTCGGCCCTTTCTGTAAGACAAGCTTAATGGCTAGGAAACTGCTTTAAAACATTTGTAAAAGGCTGGTTTAATGCTTTATAAGGTCATTTAAACTTAAATGAATTCCAATTGAAGCAATTTCCCTTATAGAAAAACCCTTAATGAATTTAATAGCCGCTGTACCCGATGTGGCCAGTAGGGGGAACCCTCTTACTTCTAAAAAAGCAGCAGCTGTCAGAGTTAAATAAGAAAAAAAGGACGGGAATGGCTGTATTCCATATGCCACTGCAAGCACCCTCATATTTTTCTAATTTGTGGCTATCATTCTACTCATGTGAATTGTTTTCCTCACTGCAAATCACAGAATGGGTCATTCTAAAGCATATGATATTAGTAGATGACTTATTTCACTTTATGATGATGTTTGACTCTATGTAATATGAATGTATGTAATGTGCAAG